CGAGATGAAAGTTTATACCGCTGTATCTTTATGGGATCACCATTAATCAGCTCAATGCTATGACTAACTACATTTGTCTCTCCAGGATTGTTTGAAAACCAATTAGAAAATTTCCATAAAACATATTTTACTCCTTCTATTTGAAAGGCCATAATCTTTTCTCAAATTCGTTTTCTTCTAAGATGTCTGAGAAATTCAAAAGATTAGTATTTGAGGACAAATGTGGAATTTCTAATTTACTTGTCCTTTCATTTCAGCCCTCTTGCTTATTGTTTCCGGTCTTTTATAATATGGTTTAATCATGTTGACATGATACACCTGATTTTTGTTCATTTTGTCCTTCAAAATTTATTACATAATTTGTAACAGATATTTTCTTCTCTATTTTGCCAGGTCCTTTCCACTGAACATCAAGTTTAGTTTGTCACAAAACACCAAAATTGAATCTCCTGTTGAGAATTCTATCTTCACTACATTTCGATAGTACCACGCTTTCCTTTTTATTTGCGCTAGCTTCCTATTTTCAATTGCCAGTTCTTGACATCATTTCATGCGATTGATTAATTGAAAAACCACATTCAACCACATCGCCGTTTTCATCTTCTGGTTCCAACCATTTTTCGTAAAGTAAAAGTAATTGGAGTTCGTAGATTTCTTTCCACAAACAAGTGCAGCAGGGCTGAAACCTGTACCTTCATGAGTGACAGTTCTAATTGCCAAAAGTGACTGGTAGATAACTTTGTCATTCTGAAGCAGTTTCGATACATATGGCCCTTAGAATTCTTTTTAAGGTTCAATGAAAACGTTCTACAGGATTGCTCTGACGATGGTGACTGGAGCTGCTGATGAATTTACTGCCAAAACTCTCCAAAAATTCTACTGCCAGTGCGCCGACGAAAGAGTTCCCTTTACCGCTTTGAAAACACTTAATAAAACCCATGTTACTAAAGATTTGTAAAAATGCATCAATAATTGATTGAGCAGACACTTCAACAGCTTCTGGATATTTTGATGACATGCACAAAGCAGTGATGATGTATTTCTTTCCAGAAGTATCTTTTACTGTATAGATATTTATTTTGGAGAATATTTCTTAAATTATAAGTACTAAAGTTAATGGTACTTTATTCCTTGCCGGGCGCTTTGGCACACATCATAAGTTTTCACAAATTCTTCCACTTCTTTGTACTATCTTGACCAAAATATATCGTCAGCCTGTCTTTAGTTTTTAACACCCAACATTTCCCTTCATGGCAAATGTTCATAATTCGTGATTTTAATTTTCGGGCACAACTATAAGAAGTTTTCCTTGTTCTGTACGATATTTTTTTTCTTTTTCCTAAGAGCCCTCGTTCGTTAAACTATAATCAGCAGTGATGCTTACATCACTTTTAATAATATCTAGAATGGTGGGAATTTCTTTATCTTAATTTTGGAGTTCAGTCAGTTTCTTTGAATCAATTTCAGTAACTTAAGTTACGGTCTCATCTTCTACTCGATTCTGGTATTGTTAAATTTTCTTCCAACCTATTTTGGTTGTTTTGTCGTCATTTCCTGAGCTTCTTGTTTCTTCTGTTTAGATCTACTTCGTGAAGCTTCACCTGGGCTATGATTACAGCATTGATAAGATATGGAAGACCTTCAGTTTCACTTTTCATTCATTTGAACAAAGACGCAGTTCTGCAGCCTAATAAATACCTTCCTTGATCAAGTTCATTTCTGATGACAACTGCTTTTGTTGTTACAGGGCCCAAATTGCAACCTAATTCTACTCTTGCTAATGGTAAATACACTGGAGATGCATCAATGTTTGTTGTACCCCCAAACATTTTTCACAGGTCAGCTTTCTTGATTTTATATATTTACGATAGACAATATCGATACTTGCACCCGAAACCACGTAGTATCGGAGTCTGATATCCATTCACAATTTCCATTGTTGTATAATGTAGTAAAAATTTATCTTCGGATATTCGTCCTAGTCTATTTACATTCGCAGAAGGCTCATGTGCTTTCTTATATTTAGAACATTGGCACTTTTAGTGTTAGTAAGATCCACACTGATAACATTAAGATATTCTTTTTTCCGAAACTATCTTTCGGTTTTTAAAGTGCTAAAATTAGTATGATATGGTGCTTGAGATTTAAATACTGAATTTTTGAAATCTATCTTTCTTTCAAAAGAAAACTTTGATTTTGGGCTAAAATTGACACTTTTTCCAATTTGCGGCAACTCTATTCTGAAATCTTCCTCGAACATCTTCGTATGGAATCTTCTGCAAACTCCTCTGGAGAAACGACCTCTCCCAGTCCATCGATAAAATGATCTCGAATTTTTCTGGGACGCGGCGTTTCAATTTATCAGTAACCACCAACGACAGTAATTGATCAAAAATAGTCATTCCTCATTCCGACACCCATTCTCTATGATAGTTTCCTAATTTCTAACTTATCTCATCTATATTTCTCGCCTACGCATGTCAGTGCTCCTCCAATCAGTGCAAAGGTAGAGGGGATTGAAAAATGCTCGTTGAATTGAATAATGAAAATAGTTCATGCTTTCAGTTTTTCATCTCGCATCATCAGGGAGTATCTGACGCTACAGCGTTGGAAAGCCCTCCGAAGGACGCCGCATAAAATGCAATACGTTCATTGACTGCCGACAGAAGATCAAAGGGCTTGAATGGTCGAGTGGCTAGCGCTCTGGCGCTCGGTACCACAGGTTTTCGGTACAAGTCCCGGCGGTGCCGTGGATGTTTGTAGAGGTTCGGAATCCACTTTAAACCGTAGGTCCCGGTCTCATATGACTGTATGAGTCACGGAGCAAAAAGTCAGGCTTCTACCTACGGGTGCTCCATCACAACAGAAGCTGCCCCCTTTCCCTCCATCCATGAGTAGATCACTCATGGGGATGCCCGTCCCTCACTGCAGGACATTGAGGATTAGTCCCAGACAAACAAACAGGAGATCAAAAAGCGAAACTGCTATATTAATCTGCACTTCTCTTCCCGACCAAACATATATATATGTATATATTACAGCACTTCGTTTCTCTTGATTCACCTTGTTTATCGAACACTGGTTCATTTCCAAATGCCCGTCACTTCGGCCTGAAGCGATGCGCAGCGGAAAGTGCGGAAGAATTAGCATTGACGAGGACGACATCCACCGCGAATGGAAGAACGAAAGGATCATCCTATTTATTCATGTCCTCTCGGAAGGCGATGGTTCCCCCACCCCACCCCCACACGCATCATCTGTCAGTGGCCATTCCTAAATGGAACACGATGAGCCCAACTACAACTTACGGCCACAGAAACTAATTGGCCGGATTCAAATCGAGCTCTGCCCACGTCACACTATGTCTTAGCAAATGGATTATAATATAAAAACTGCACTAGTGTCGTTGTGGTGTTTTCGATTTCATCACTCATTGTAATGTTGTTCATCTCGATTTATCTGATAAGCAAAATATCAATTGTAGTTTCCTCTTTGATGCAGGGCCTGAATGGCCGAGTGCCCCGCAGCGCCCTGGCGCTCGATGCCACAGGTTTCGGGTTCGAGTCCCGGCGGTGCCATGGATATTTGTAGTGTTTCGGAATCCACTTTTTGCCGTAGGTCCCGGTCTCCTATGACTGTAAGAGCGTCGAGGAGCCGAAGTCAAACTTCTGCCTACGGGTGTTCCATTACAACAAAGCTGCTTCCTTCCCATGAGTACATATGGGCTCGTGGACTTGGCCTAGATGTCTGCCAAGTGGGATAAGAAACAACAACAAATCTTTTTTACATCGATGGACGTTGCAATCGCACTGACTCCAATGTCCTGAGGGGTGAGATTATTTGTGGGATTGAGCCCGCACAAACATTTTTATTGTTGCCATGCAGTAATTCGAATTATCATTGCGATCTATTAAACAAACAAATTTATTAAATAATCTATAAATAAAAGTATCTATACATTATTATAAATTAGTTTTTTAATTTATAATCAATAACGATCAAAGTATGTATAATTGCGTAAACAATTCAATTTTTTAAATATCTGGTCCTTCTTTATGCTTACCGAGAACAGCAATGGTAATTTAATATATTAATACTAATTTAGTATAAAACTTTTTGTATAACATTTGAAAATATTTTTTTTTTTTTTTTTTTTATTTATTATTTATTTATAATTATTTAACTAAACAAATAAAAATTATATTTAAATGGTATAATAAGAAAGATAGATCGTCAAAAATAATAAGTAATGATCAGAAAGACAGAAGTTCCAATAAGTTAATTAATTGCTTATAGGAAAATTAAGGGAACAAATTCGATTTCTCAGCAGTCTAATGTTAAAATGAACAGGAAGTTTCATACTCTTTTTAGTTTTATACGCGGCATAATTAATTCCGTTTTATTTTTTTCGTAATATTTATAATAAACAATGACAAGGGAAATAAAAAAATTTTAAAATAGGAACGAAATACAATGGCCATAGGAAAGATCGTTTAAAATCTCATGCAATGCTTTATTATAATTTTAGTATTTTCAACAATGTTTTAAATATGTATATAAAATAGATTTTTTTACCTATCAAGAAAGTATTTTGTTAAAAATATTTCTTTCTGGAACTTTACGTGATGAAATTTTTTTTTTTCTCGTGGTGAAATTTAATTATCATATGTTTTGAAATAACGATTAAAGTTTTGATTGCAAAAACATTTTTTGTGTTCTTCGCTTTATCACAATCCACCGACTTTTCATTACTTATGGGCGATCCACTGACTCAGTCAAACCTTTAGGAGTAAAAGGAAATTTTAATAGTGCGAGACATTATCGCCAGTACGTTATTTTACTAGTGCGATACATTATCACATCTGATCTTGTTTCACACATCACAATCACTTCGCTCAAATTTCACCCATGAAATTTAATAACGAAGAAGTTAAATAAATGAGTTTCTGCATTTTTCTTTCTGGAAATGACTTTAATTAAAAGACACAAAAAACAAAATCCGCAGTCGGTAGGATTCGAACCTACGCGGATCCACTACCGCTACCACTCCCAATGGATTTCTAGTCCATCGCCTTAACCGCTCGGCCACGACTGCTCGCATGTGACGCGAAATATAGGGTACTGAACTGAACGCGATTTCAACACCTACATGTATTAATCTTCCAATTTTCACTCGGTCTGACTTTTTACACGGAATTCTTTAATTTGTTATAATTTCTTGAACTCAACTCTTTCAGAATGTCTGAATTCTTTCAGAATTTTTCAACTCGTTCATAATTTTAATTCGCTCAATTTTTTAAAAAAATTTTTATTCACTCAATTTTTAAAAATTTTTATTACTCAAAATTTTGTAATTTAAATTTTTTATTTTTTAAAAAATTTTTAGTTTGTAAAGAATTCTTTAATTCTTTCATATTACTTTTTAATTTATTCTTTACTTAAGATGTGTTTTAATTTAAATTGTCATATGACTTTAAATGGATGTAGGCAACAGCAATAACAACAAATTTTTTTCTTCTTTTTATACACAGTCCAGTCACATTAATGTGACCACCACCTACTTTCGACGTCACCGTGAAATAACCACTCACAAAAGGCAGGTGGAAGCACATTGCAGTGGAGTGTATCTAAAGAATTCCACTTAATACCACACTCCCACTTAAAGCCAGAATATACAAGAGTGTATATTCTGGCTTTTGACAGGTAGCCACATTAATGTGACTGGACTGTATATATATATATATATTATATATATATTCACGTCAGCGCACTTTCCTTCTTCCCCCACAGTGCCGCCGGAAGCTAACTCACTAAACGTGGAGAGGGAAGCACCTTCATTGATTTGTAAAAGGAAGACGCGAATCGGCTTCGTCCCCCCCCTTCCCCGCCGCTGCAACGAAGCCTTCACTTCCTTCTTCACCCCTCGATGTCACACTCGTATCACGAACGGCCAACTGACGTGAAGAAGAGAGCCTTCAGTGAGGAAGGAAACTGTCCAGCATTTGCGTGTCACGGATGTAGAAAATCCCCACCATTCAGCCTGACTGTTCAGCTTGAGTGGCAATATTCATCACTGCCAATCAGCACAGTTCAACTATGTTCGTTGTTTTTTGAAATTAAAACGTTTGTTTTCATTGAATTATCCTGAAAATTATGTTTACGTCGATTGATGTTATAAACTGATATGATAAACCACTGATGTAGTAAATTTTGAATATTGCTGACACAACACTGACTGTCAATGTGACACGGATCGTCGCAATCCCCACTGACTCCCGTAACAGCCAGCAGATTCGAATCAGATCTGTCTTTTACGCTAACCACGATCATTAACACTTGGACAAACAAAGACCGACAAAATAGGATTGATTGCTACTTTCAGTTAGTGATAAGATGAATAAACTATATAGCATTTATTAGAATTACTAAACATTACTAAAACATTTATTAGAATTTTTTTAAATCTTAGTAGAATATATATATATATATATATATATATTGTTTCAAATTCTTCAAAATCCCTCTGCACTCAAAAACGACTTTCAGGTTTTATTTTCAGAACTTAAAGTTTCGTTTAACTTCTAGACTTCTTTTTAATAAAGTCTCGACGTAATGTCATTGAGTTACAGTCATTCCCTCCTGAAATTACGTCAGCTTGTCTTCCTGGAGTGCGCACGAGAAACATTCTTCCTGCGCGGGACAAGGACTCCACCCTCTTACGCATCTTATAAAATGCCAAGTGCGTAGTTATTTCTTCTTTGGCATGACCTTTATGATACATAACAAAGATGAGAAATCACCTGCACTCAAATTAACGAAAGAGTTTTTAAGTTCTAAAGGATGAAATATATTTCTTTTACGATTTTAACCACTTTTTGTTCCGTTTTTTTTTTGTCATGATATCATATAGGTATGAACTTTGTGGAATCCACAGAACAGTAACATAGAACGCACACAGGGGTTGTCAGTGTGGTGCCTCCTATGAAATGTGTAGATTGTGTCCAGAATCCATTTTTTAAGGTCAAATCATATCAGCTACATTTTTCCTTTACATTAAAAATACCAGGACATTTTTCAATGGCTCTCACAGATTGTCAATTGCAATACTGTCTCAAACAGTTATACGGGGAAACCGAGCTAACTGAAAGTACTTGCCATCAGGCCTTGCTCGGCAATGAAAGACGCACAAAACTTTTGCTAGTTTATTTTTTAGCTATCAATAAATGTAATTTTAATTTTTCTGAATATTTAGCATTTATATTCTATTCATAAATTTTCCCTCCAAAATGATTAAAAATAAAATATTCATTTGTATGAATTTGTTGTCATGTTTTATTCTATTTCATACAAATTCATCTTATATCTATTTATCTTGAGTAAGCGGCACAGTTCAGTGACGCTCGAGAAGCATAATTTCGTGCATTTCTCAGAATTTTCAGAAGTCTCTTACGTTTTCGAAATGAGTGCTTTCAAGGGAAAGAAGCGGCACAGCGCCCATTCTAGTGCGAAACGGACAGCAGATGTTTGCCCCAACTGTTGCTTTAGAACAATGGGACGTGCACTAATAACTATTGCAGAGTAAAAGAAAAAAAAAAAAAAAAAGAAAGAAACTGAAAAAAAAAAAAAAAACAAGTAATATAAATAAATTTTTTAAAGTCAATTTCTACTTTTTTTCACAATATATTGCAGAAAGTTCTTTATAAATAATTTTCATTCATTTTTTTAAGTGAATTTTTTTGTCTGGCGTCCTCTATTGGTAGATATATGCAACTTAAATCTAAAAAAAAACTAAAATTAATTAATTAAATTTAATTAAAATGAGTTAATTTTTGAAAAACTATATCAACACCAAGTGTCATCCACTACAAGTTCAAAAAATGTATTTGAACTTGAGTGGATGGATAAAAGTATTTTATGAACGATTGTAAATTTGAACACGATATATATACAGGGAGAGTGTGAGCTAATAGAATTGAAAAAAAAAAAAAAAAAAAAAAAAAAAAAAAAGGCCTGAAGAAGATGCACTGCTGTGATCTGTGCTGCGCGAAAAACTCTCAGAACAGGTTATGGGGCAAGTGAAGAGGTAACGAAAGAAGGAAACGAAGTAACGAATGGAGGGCGGAGCTGTTGCGGTGAATTGGGACTGGCCTCATAACTCTTGAGCTGCGAGTCACCGAGGTTTCTGGCAAAGGTGTGGCCGAGGACGGTGTTCCCGAGAGTCTGTTGGTGATTCAAATAGACTCCAGGCACTAACTCCACGCTGTGAATCTGCACCGGATTTTTTGATTCGTCCCTCCCTTCCCGCAATACGTTTCCTCGACTGCTGCTTCCACTTTAGAAGACGATAGTGTGAAACTTCAGCCGAGATCTTGGAATGTTTTTGGATTTCGTGCGCATTACCTTGCAAATAATCCTGGCATAGAACTGCAGCGACAACTGCAGGTGCGATGCCGGTTTCAAGGACAACTCTCTTCTCACTGATGTCTTCGGTACACGATGGCATATGCAGATTTTCCCAATAATATCTATTGTGTCAAAGTGGTGAACATTTCAAACCTGTGTAAGGAAGCATAACGTTCCAATCCTGAATCTTGTCGGTAACGAAGACATCCCTGACTAACACTTTGTTTTTTGATAACAACTGAAAGATTCACCGATTCCAACATGGTAACGCTGCCCTCCTGAATCGGCCACCCATGTTTCATAGTTATTTTCACATCGAAATGCGAAGGAAAAAGCAAGTGAGAGTAGAAGTCACCATTTAATCGGCTGTTTCATTTCCTCGCGCAATTTCCATTTCAGATGAATGCTCGTTCGTCACTGCGCTTTTCGACCCTGGTGGCCAAGATAGACGATTTGACATTAGAGAGTTTTTGCATACCGTACTTTAAATATACGGTATATTTTTCTCCCTAGCGCATGCTCATAGGAAACATTATTACAGATACGCATGCGCAATTTCCTATGAGCATGCGCGCTAAGGAGAAAAAAATACCGTATTTTTAAAGTACGGTATGCAAAAACTTTCTAATGTCATGTCGCGCACACGGTATTTCATTTTAGAACTGGCTTTCGGAACACAAGATTGTTTGCATTTTCTCGAAGTAGTGGCTTACACAAGCGAATTGAACCAGTCCAGCTCCGTCGATGAAGTACATAGTGACTTTATGTCGCTTCTATATATCTATTGTTTAGTACTGTGTATCCTACCTAGTAGTTAAAAAGGTGAAGATGGAACATCGGTGATCCTTACGTATACCGAAGGGTGGGGTACATAGGTGTTAAAAGGAAGGAATTACCCTGCATTTGCGTGCCGTATAGGAGGAACTCTCACCATGCAACCCGACTATCGATATGAGATCCCCATCGCCATCGAGTGCTATCGCATCTGAAATCAGTGATTGCAGGGTATTCGAATCTAAGTTCTTCTGCATGGGAACTAGATCTGGGCGATATATATGTCGTATCTATTTCACTATCCTTAAATGAACGAAATTCTGATTTAAGTTTTCGATATTCTGTAACGTTAATGTGCTTTGAATATTCAATATCGAAATATTGAAATTCCAAAACCACTTTGGAGTTCATTAGTGAATCTGGGTTGTGCCAGGGAGAAAAGTGATTTCGATGTTCAATATCGATATCCAACATCGAAATTCCAATTTCCAACAACGCTATAGTGTTATGTCAATATCAGCAATATATTTTTGTAAATATTTTTATATAATTATTGTATAATTCATATGCTACGTGCGTCCCTTGGAAGGGGATGTTTGTTTGTCTCTGCACCTGACCGGATGGGAATCCGATTTGCCACAGCTGGGGGTGAAGAGGATATCTCTGGAAAATATTTTAATTGGCAGGGGTCATACGAAACTTCGTGCCAGATGGCCAAGAGCAATAATTTACTGAGACTTTTAAGACTCTTGTCTACTAGCATGCTGGGATTTTAATGGTCGGGGGTGAGTCTGCCGAACGGATATAGACTCTGATATGGTGTCGCCCCCCTCAGAAAATGAACTATAAAAACGGAGGCGATGGACATCGTAGCGGGAGAGAAAGAAAAGAGACGAGGAGAACGGTACTCCGTAGCTT